TTTTTTTTTTTTTTTTTTAACATAATTTCTGGGCATTGAATGTCGGTCCAGAGACTTTACTGACTGCACCATCTCCTCAACCCACCCTGCCTACCTTCCTTCTTTTAAAAACAGGGTCTCATATAGTCCAAGTTAGATTTGAATTTAGTATGTAAGCAACTAAGGGTGGCCTTGAACTCCTGATCTTCCTCCTTTCTCCACCTCCTCAGTGCTAGGAGTACAGAGGAGCACCACCATACTTGGCCACTGTGAGCTTTGGTTTTCTTTCCTTTCTCCCTCCTCCTCCTCTTTTTTTTTTTTTTTTTTTTAATTTATTTATTACACATACAGTGTTCTGCCTGCATGTCTCCCTGCAGGCCAGAAGAGGGCACCAGATTTCATTACAGATGGTTGTGAACCATCATGTAGTTGCTGGGAATTGAACTCAGGACCTCTGGAAGAACAGCCAGTGCTCTTAAGCTCTGAGCCTTCTCTCCAGCACACCCCCTTCTCCTTCTGATACTATGCATTTCACTATGCATCCTTGACTGGTCTGAAACTTGCTCTGTAGATCTGGCTGGTCTCAAACTCACAGAGATGTACCTACCTCTGCCTCCTAAGGGCTGGCATTAAAGACATGCTTTTTGTAATATTTATTTATTGGGCATGTCTATGCATATGTGTATAGCTCGGGAGAACTCCATGGATGTGGGAGGCTAGGACTGCTCATCATCATTATGATTGTAATGACAACATAGTGGCAACATCTTATAACAAAACATGGTGTGATGGTACAGACCCCAGCTACCCTGCAGGCTGAAGAACGAAGATCTCAAGTTCAAAACCAGCCTGTGTGACTTATTGAAGCCATATCTCAAAAGAAAGAGTAAATATGAGCTAGAGATGTAGCTCAGTGGTAGAGCCCCTGCCTAGAATCCCCCAGTGAGGGGCTGGGGTGTGGCTCAGTGGTAGAGCCCCTGCCTAGAATCCTCTATACATGTAAAATAAAATAAATAAACCTTTAAAAGATTTTAAGTTTTTTAAAAGGTGATTGTGATGATGTAGGCCTGTAATTTCAGCTACTGTGGGGCCTGAGGCAGGAGGATGACAGGTTGAGTCCAGTCTGGACTACACAGGGAAATGGTATTATATATATATAAAGGCAGGGCAGGCAAGATGCCTTGGTGGATAAGGTGTTTTTCACTGAGACCGATGACCTGAACTGGGTTCCCTGGACCCATATGAAGATGGAAGGGGAGAACCAACTCCAGAAAGTTCTTTTCTGAACGCCACACGTGTGCCATGGCACACATGGGCTCCTCCTCCTAGCCACACGAAATAAATAAATGTCATAAAAATCTAAAACATCATAATAGCAGTGAAGCTGTGGCTGTAGCGCAGCGGTAGAAGCTCTAGGTTCAATCCCTAATGGGGGGCAAAGACCTGTGGAGGGAGCCTGGCTTCCACCCCTGCAAAAGTGCCATCTTCATCTCACCCATCAGGGGGCGCTACAGCCCCTCCGCAGGTCCCTCCCTGCATCCCGGCGGCAACCTTTCTTCCACGTCCACCACTCCTCTTCCGCACTCCGAAAGCCTCCAGGTATCTCCTGAGCGAGAGCTGCCCAGGCACTTTGCACCTCTCGGCGGGCAGGAGGGACTTTCCACTTTACCTTATCTATCCCGTGTTTATTTGTTTTCCTTATCTCTGCTGCTCCGAGCAGCAGCGCTGATTTATCCCCGAGTCTCTCATCCCAGCATGGGGCCCCGGCAAAGGTGCCAAGGGTTAGGTCGTGAATGGCAGGGAAGGAAACCGCGTCAACCTAGATTCCCCCGAGGGAGGGGCTTGGGGCCAGGCGCGGTGGTGGAGCAGATGCCCGGAGGATATGATTGGTGTCAGAGAAAACCTGGCCCAGCCCCCTGTCCAGAGCACAGGGGAGGAGACAGACAGGATCCAGTGGTTCGTAGATACCTTTCATCTTTCCTGGTGCTCATGTCCTCATCTGGGAAGCCTGGAGGGAGATCCTCTAGAGTCTTCCTTGCTCTCGGAGCCTGATAGTCTACACACCCAAGGGTCCATCCGTTTGTCTTCTCGTCTTTCTCTCCTCCTCCTCTGTTGGATCTCACATAGCCCAGGCTGACTTGAACTCAGCCTCACAAAGGATAACCTTGACGTTTTGACCTTCCTGCCTCCATTTCCCAAGTGCTGAAGTAGGCATGTGCCATCCCGTGGGCTTGGAGTTTGTAGTTTCGCGCTCTCTCTCCTTCCTTCCTTATTCCTCTTTGTGATACCGGGGCTGGAACCCAGGGCCTTACATACACTAGCCAAGCGCTCTACCACCGAACGACACCCCAGCCCCTCACTGGGGGATTCTAGGCAGGGGCTCTACCACTGAG